GTTTGGGAAGAAACAGACACCTGCTGAAGGTTTTGAAAAAAGTGATGGGACTGAATACAACATCACAAAGAACAGATAGGAGAGGAGAGAACTCCTGGAGCCGGAAGGGGAGTCGGAGGGTCGGGTGGGATGCTGCCCACGGTGCCTGAGTCAGGACACTGGTAGTGCTTGTGGAGACCACGTACTTGGGTGATAGTTTGATCCGAGAGAGCAGGGAGGAAGGCTGCATCATCCTTCCTTCTAATGTCTGCAGCCTGAGTGATGACAGGAGCAGGCAAGTCCAAAAAGGCTTCCGTCTGGGGAAGCAGGTGGAAGAGAGGGCGAGGCGGGAGGAGCGGTGAGCTCCATTGTGCTTGCGCGATAGTCGGCGTCCTTTGGCAGAATTTGCAGGAGTGTTTGCAGGCCGGCTCCTCAGAAAAGAGCCCAGAGGTTTAGGTCTGGAATCGTGGTTCTTCATCTGTTGGGAGTCTTGGATTCCTTTGATAATATGGTGTAGATTAGAGTTCCTCGTCTCCAGAAAGAGGCACGAATGGACAAAACTTGACGTACAATCTTAGGGGAATCCCAACCCCTCGGAAGCTCACCTGTAGGTCCCAGGCTGAGGAACCTGGGTGTGTAACAGAGAGGTCCCAAACCAGTTTGCGCAGAGTGAAGGTGGGACAGGAGCCAGCAAGGTGGATAAAAAGGGTTAGAGGTGAGTGCAGAGCCTGCAGGGTGAGGTCTGTGGGGGGCCGATGGCACAGGGAGGTTTCAGAAGGTGGTCGTGGGTGTGTGGTGCTGTGGAGGGTTGAGGAGGGGAGAGGATCAGGAAAAGCCCTTTAGACATGATGACGAGCTCCTTGGGGACTGGACCCTCTAACTGTGGACTGCTTGAGGCTGGAACCTTCCTTCCTTAGCGTGTACCCTGAGTGCCTGATACAGTGCCCGGCATACATTCGTTGAACTCTTTTGAATCACAGAAAATGGTCCGAGTGGAGGAGACAGACCCCAGCTGGTCAGGGTGTAAAGAGACAGTAGATGGCTCTTAAAAACAAAATGTCATGGTAGCAGCCAGGTTGAGGGAAGAAGTGTTTCCCTTAGAATCCGGAAAAGATGAAGGAATATGCTTACGGGCAGGAGAAGGAGTCTCGCCTGTCTTCAGGGCAAGAGACGGAAGGACTCCTTTATTGAATGGGATCCTGGGGCTGGCAGAGGGGGTTGGGGCTCAGCCCAGTTTGGAGGGCAGTTTTGGAAAGGAGAAGGGACCATTATTCTCCTGAGACAGGAGGGGAAGAAAAGTTTCCAAACTGCCACAGTGGGGAATGCGAGAGTGCAGAAAGGGATTTCCTGGAAGCGTAATCTAAGCCTGATTGCACTGAACAAGACAAAGGGCCCCTGCTTGAAAAATATCACTTTGTTATTATTAGTGAAACTGTTAAAGCAGCTGCGGATTATCTCAGTGATTTTTCTTGGCACTGGAAGTCAGAAGTAAACTTGCTGTTGTGTCCGCAAAATGGGGTCCACAGGCCAAGGGCGCTGGGTTCCAAATTCAGCCAGGGGAGAGCAGTGTATGGATGCATTTTTTTTCTTTCACACCAACCCTGGCTCTCTTGCCTCCTTCCCCATTAGTATTTTCACCACTCCATGTGTTCTCTTAGGACTTAAACTTCGAATTGAACTTGAGTGGTTTAGCCACACACCGTCGACTCCCAAACCATTGTTTGTTTCTATATCATGTCAACCCACTAAGCCTCGCAAACTGTTTCGATGCCATTTTCTATTTCATCCGAAGCATTTATTTTCTTGTTTTGTTTTAGCTTGGCTTTTCAGACACTAGAAATTGTACCATTTTCTCAAACTGCATCGGAACTCAGTACTAGTTCTAGGTAAATGATACACGTCTATGATAAGGAATGTGGCAGTGCCTCTGATCCGATTGTAACCTTTTTTTAAGGCAGGAACAAAAATTATATACATATAAACAGAGCCTGATAGCGCTACAGCAAAATGAAGAGTTGAATTGTTGGACTGGTATGTTCGATGCCAAAGTTGCGCTTTCATTGATTTCCTTTATTGTGTGCTCATTTGTTACTCAGATGGGATAATCAGAGATAATATAAATTTTAGGTGGGAGGTTTTTTTTTAAACTCTGAGTCTCAACCTATTATTGAGTCATGAAATCAATTTACTAGGGTGCAACCAGCATTTTTTAATGAAATAGAAGAGAAAATATTAAGAGCCTAACGTGTAATATAAGTATGGTGTCGTGAAATATTTCTTTCAGTTATCCGTGTGTGTGTGTGTGTGTGTGTGTGTGTGTGTGTGATGGTGTAAAGTGTATGGCTTTCTGTTAATCATAGTCCAGAAAGTCTGGAAGACAGTCTTTTGGATAATGTTCGAATATGTAGACTAAAATGCGTTTGAAGTTAATTTAGGCGCTAAGAGAATCACTGAAATCTATCTTTACAGCTGTAGGCCTGGCATGGGTTTTCTTAAGTTTTGTTTAAGTGAAAGGCTTTTGTTTATGACTCAGCTCGTGGGCTGTACACTCACAGAAGGAATGGAGCCTGAGGCCTGGCAGCCCCGGGTCGGGGAGGCTGGGTGGGAAGACGCATTTGTGGGGCCCTTTTGTGCGCTTGCCAGCACGGGCCAAGGGGACCAGCGGCCCGCGTCTGAATCCAGCTCAATCACTTACTTACCTGCTTGGTGACTTTGAAAATCATGTAGTATTTATGCGCTTCAGTGTTCTCATCTGTGGTGGAGATAATAACAGCTCTACTCCACAGGGGTTTGGGGAGGATTAAATGTAAAGTGCTTACAACAGTGCCTGGCACGCAGTAAGTGCCCAGTAAATGTCAGCTCTTCTGTCCTAGTGCCCCGTTTTCCCAGCAGGTGCAGAGAATATGGATGATTACCCTGACATACTCTTCCCAAGAGTATTAATAAACTAATTGTGATAATAGGTGGGACATTCGAAGCCCTTTAAAAGAAAGATGTTCTACAGATAACAGTTAGTTTTCTTATTAAGAAACCAGGGGTTGTACCTTGCTAAGGGATTAGCTGGAAGTCTCCAGTTTCAGAGCATTAAATCCAGATGCTTTTTAACTAGAAATGGGGAATATGAGCAACAGGGCTATGTAATAAACAGACTTCTTCAGAAATTGTTTTCCCTTTCTTTTCTTTCCATCTGTGACCTGGCTTTCAGGGTACCATGGCTTATTGAGGCTTGTGTTCCTACATTTTCCACTTTGCCGTTTGGGATTCAGCTCTTCAGCATCGTGGTGTTTCCTACTTTTTCTTATTCTGTGCGCTGATTGGCAGAGAATTGCAACGTTTTCTGGGATTTGTTTGGGTAAATTTGACCATTTATGGGCAGTGGAAATAGGCACAGGAGAGAAGACTCACTGGCTCTCATTTCGGGAGAGAAGCAATGGGCTTGCAAGGCCTTTTCTGTGGCGACCAGTGGCCTCCGAGGATGGATGGCCAGTACTTGGTCGTGTGCACTGAGGACAGAGGCGAGGTCTTAGCGAGAGCAGCATGGTGCGAGCCGGGCCGGGCCCTTCCCTTTGCAGGGCGCTTCCCAGGTCTCTTTGCCTGGCTTTGCTGAACCCCATCACGGCCTGTCGTGTGCTCTGAGCACTGCTGTTTCTACCTCGTGTCCCCTCTGGTTCTACTCCCACGTGACTGGCTTGCAAAAACAATTCTTTAAAGATAATTAAAATGAGCTATGGGTGTGTCTGTCTTTTTTGATCTTTTGCATGAGGGTATAAATGATTTGATGAATAGAGAATTAACAACAGAGGGCACTTTTTTCCCCTGTGCCTCCATTTTTCCGTTCAGAGATGGGGAAATATTTATAAATGGCTTTGAGATTTTTCAATCAGACTGAAGTGGAGTAGACTCTTACTTTCTACAGATTTGATGACAGAATTAATAGGTAAAAGCGAAAAGCTCCTTTGCAGCTGGTCAATGAAAGAGAAGCCACACTGAGTGCAGCTCACACACCCTCATGCACTCGCTTCTCCGCTTGGACGAGACCTGACACTGAAGTGTGGCTTGGTTCTCCATTTCCTTTTCTGGCCAGGACTTTTTTTTTCCTTGAATAAACAGCCAGCTTGCCTAATTGAAGGTCTAATCAGGCTTTTAAATCTCCTCCCTTCCTGCCTCCTCTAAGACTTGGCCCTCAGTTCTCTTTCAGTCTCTCTCCACTGCCCTCTCCCTCAGCGGCCGCGCCCCCATCACTTGCTGGCCCACGCTTTGCCCTCCTTCTCAGGGGAGCTCTTCTTTCAAAAGTGGCTCCAGACCCTCCAGATTCTCAGCCTCTTCCACCGCACTGTCGTTTGACTCTAACCACCCCTCCTTTCAAATGTTTTTTAAAATACTGAGTAGCTGCTGGAGAATGTTGATAAAGTCTCCATCAAATGTGCGGAGCATCCCTTTGTCTCGGGGCTGCTGTGTCTTCTGCTTCGTTCGCCCCCTCTCTCTCCAGCTGGGCCTTGTCGGCTAGGGGATCTGCTGGCTTGTGGGGCCTCGTTTCCTGGGCTGCTTTGTGATGAATGCCTGTGTACTTATATTCCTCGGGCCTTTGTCTGTGGGAAGACTCCGAGGCTGGGAGTGAAGGAGGTTTTATGTTCCCTTCTGCCAGGCATTTGGGGGCACTCCCAGCCTGGGACAGTCACAGATTAAATTCTCTGCTTGATATTTTTGGACCATGTGAGGTTTATGAGTTTTGGCCACCAGCTACTTACAGGCTGCCTTGTGCTGCGAATTCCTTTGCTCAGCACCAGTCGTCTAGACAGGTGAATTTCCTCTTTGTCCTTACCTGGAGGCTGCAGTGTGATTGAAGGCGGTTTCCAGTTTGACGCCCATCTTGGCATCTTGGGGGCAGGCCTGGGGTGTTAGGCCCTATCTCCTATGACTGGAGAGGCTATGAATTTCGTTCCTATTCCCGGTTTGCCTTGGGCTTCCGAGTATTTATTCTTCCCTAGGCAGCTCATTAGTGCATTTTAAAAAGGGTTTCTGTACTTACCTGGCAGGGGAGATACTATGATCACAAAGGTGGTTTTCACAAAGCAAGACATCCGTCGCATTTTGGATGTGCTGACTCCTGTGATTTCCCCAAATGTGGGAAACTCAACTGCATAATTTGTGGTAGTGGGGGAATGTGTTCACGCTTCCCCCCACCAAAAAAGGGAGGTTCTGATTTATCCAGCAGTGTTAGATGTTTTCAGCAGAAGTCTGTTAGGGCATCTAGACCATTGCACTTTCAGACACCTCTTCCTGTGGCTTCTGAAAGCTTGATCTCCTGGCCGCCTTTTCTTTTCTAGTTCCTTGGCTCCCTTCTGCTGTCTAAATGTGGGTTTTCTAGAAAAAGTCCATCCTTCACATCCTTCTTACTCTATGCCATCCCCACGGTAATCTTTCCCAGTCTCACATCTGCCAGCACTGCCTTTCCGAGTGTGGCTTCCAAATCCATAGCTTCCTGTTTCCCTCTATCTGCTATGTAACTTCAGCAGACCCCTGAACTATTTGTTTAAGGTTAATCTCTCCTCTCTCCCTCCAGCTTCCCCTGTGCTCCTGATTTCTCTGTTGGTATCTCTTCCTTCTCTGCCTCTTCCTCCTCCTCCAAAATCAAGGTCATTGTGAGAGTTCCCTTTCCCATAACATTAGCTGAATCCAGGGGGTTCTTCCTCCCCAGCCTGACTTAGTTGAGGTTTTTATCTCTTCCAAACCGCAGGGACAGCACGTTGGCTGGTTCTCCCACTTCATTCCTGACCTGGCCGCTCCTGCGCGTGCCTTCTGTCAGCTTGCTCTCCGAGGGGTACAGCTCTGATGCCCTCGTTCCTTTGCCTCTGAAGCCTCAGCCATCCCCCCTCCGTCAGTGTCAGCGCAGACCTACCTCCTCCACGGTGTGGCCGCGGCTCTCCACAGTCTCCTGTTTTTCTACCTGCCTCAGTTCTGGCTGTGAGACTGTGGTGTTTGCTGATGGCCTCGTATCTTCCGAGTTTGCCTACCATTTGTGACTTTTTGTCATCATCCTTGTTACCATGTCCAAAGTCATCTTATCCTTCTGGGGCAGCTCAGAGGACATCATGATCCCTCCAGGCCCAGCTGCCCAGAAGCAGCCCTGGCATCCTCACGAGTGCTGGAGTATTTTATCTGTACCTCCCCCGGCGCCTACCCTTCTCTGTACATGAGCAGTAGTTGCATCCTCCTCATCTTTCTCCTTTGAAGGATTTCTAACCCCTTAAAGACAATGTCTGTGTTTTAGCCATCTTTGTCTCTACTTAATACCTTGTTCATAAGTGGGCCCTCAGTAAATGTTTGTTGAGTGAATATACTAATGTCAGCAGAGTGAATGAATAGGAGCTAGTAGCAACCAAGTAATCAATTAGAAAATTCTGCTGTTTATAAAGGGCATTTGTTCAACAAGCATTTACTTTAAATTTCTTTCAATGTCTTATGGATGCCCATGATTGAAAATTCAGGAAGTATAAAAAGACTGAATGTTTGTGCCCCCCCAAATCATATGTTGAGGCTCTAACCCTCAGTGTGATGGTATTTGGAGCTGGGGCCTTTGGGAGGATAGCTTTAGCTTTGAATGAGGTCATGATGGTGGGGCCCCATGATGGGATTAGCGCCCTTTTATGAAGAAGAAGCAACCAGATCTCGCACTCTCCACCATGTGAGGTACAGCAAGAAGGCTGTCCTGTATAAACCAGGAAGTGGATCTCAGCAGAACCAGACCACACTGGCCCCCTGATATCAGACTTCTCAGCCTCCAGAACTGTGAGAACTAGTTTTTTTTCTAATTGAAGTATGATCACTTTACAATGTTGTGTCAATGTCTGGTGTATAGCATAATGTTTCAGTCATACATGTACATACATATGTTCATTTTCATATTTTTTCATTATAAGTTGCTGTAAGATACTTAATGTAGTTCCCTGTGCTGTACAGAAGAAACTTGTTGTTTATCTAGTATATATATATATACTAGTTAATATTCACAAATCTCCAACTCCCAATTTATCTCTTCCCACCCCCTTTCCCCCTGGCAACCATAAGATTGTTGACTATGTTTATAAATATACCAATACACATTGCCTACCAAATGGGCTTCTTCACTCTGTATATGAATGCATAGTATTCTGTTCAGTGTCCCATACTTTCTGTATTTGATCCTCTGTTGATGAATATTAACATCTCTTCCAGTCATTTGCTATTATATAAACTACTGTACCGGATAACCTAGGATAAACATCATTTTGTATGTGTCCATGTACATTGTAGGATAAATTCTTAGAAGTGGAATTACTGACATTGCCAAATTCCCCTTGTGGAAGAGGAAGTGGCTTTCACTCCCACACACAGCAAGGCAGAGCACCTGTTTCCAGACATCCTCTCCAACTGTACTAGTTTCCTGTAGCTGCTGTAAGAAATTACCACAGACTCAGGGCTTAAAAAAACAAGTCTGTCCTCTGACAGTCCTGGAGGTCGGACATCCAAAATGGGTCTCAGCGGGCTAAAATCAAGGTGTCAGCTGTGTTCCTCCTGAAGGCCCTAGAGTGGGGAAAATCCATTCCTTGTGTTTTTAGCTTGCAGAGGCCACCACATTCCTTGGCTTGTGGCCTCTTCATTTTCAGAGCCAGCCGCAGTGGGTCAAGTCCTTTGAATCACTCTGACTTGGCTTCCATCATCACATCTCCTCATCTGTTTCTGACTTTCCCTCCTTGTACTTCTTGGGACTCTTACGATTACATTAGGCACACCTGGGAAATCTGGGGTCTTCTTCCTGTCTTCAAGTCAGCCGATTAGAAATCTTGATTCTGTCTGTAACCTAATTCCTCTTTGCCCTGTGTGGTGATATAACACAGGCCCCAGGGACCAGGATGTGGACATCTCTCAGGGACCGTTATTCTGCCTACCACAGCAGTCCAGTGCACTTTCTGATTGTTTGATCTTTGCTAATATAGTAAGTGAACATGTAGATTCATAGTTCTATTTTGTATTTATGCTATTCGAGTGAAATGGAGTATCTTTTGGTTTGAGCTATTTGTATTTGTATTTCTATTTCTTCATTCCCTGTGGCTTCTGCCTATTTTCTTTTGGGATTTTGGTCTTTTCTATTGTTGTTAGTTGTAGGAACTCTTTATGAGTTGCAAATATTTTGCCCATTTATCTTCTGATTTTCCTTATGGTGGCTTTTACTATGGAGAATTTTTTAAATACTTGTTAGAATTTATCAATTGTGTGTGTGTGTGAGAGACAGGGGTCCCTGAGACCACTCCCAAGTTCAGTGATTCACTTGGAAAATTCACAGAACTCAACATATAGTCATAGTCACAAGTATGATTTAATACGGCCAAGGGATATAGAGCAAAACCAGCAAAAGGGAAAGGTGCATGGAGTTGATGTCAAGGGGAAACCAAGTGCAAGGGTCCACAGTTCTCAAGCAGTGGAGTCACTCAGGACACACCTAACTCCTACAGCAACAGCTTGTGATAACCCATGGGAAACGTTACTGACCAGGGAGGCTCATTGGAGACTTAGCACCCAGGGTTTTTATCAGGGGCTGGTCACGTAGGCACCCTCTAGCTAGCATGTACCAAACTTCTAGACTCCCAGAAGGAAAGCAAGGGTTCAGCTTAAAGCACATTATTCATATAAACATTTTCGGCACTGTAAACTCTTATCAGTTAGGGAATGGCGGGAACCCTCCCAAAATCCAGGTTCCCAGATGCCAGCCAAGGGTGAACCACACAGCAGGCCTTTCTAAGGAGAACCATCTCAGACCTGCTAGGGTAACTCTTGTCTGCACACTTTTCTTTTATAGATTCTGGGTTTTTATCCCAGGTGGAAGGTCTTCCCCACACAGCATTATTCAAAGAGTTATCCCATATTCCTCTAATATGTTAATTTCTTTTTTAAAAGTTAAATAGTTAAATTTGGAATTTTTTCAAGGGTGTCATGAAGATAGGGATCCAACTCTTTCTTCCCCTTTTGTCACAACACCATTTGATGGCTGGTCCACTGGTTTGAAATGTCACCTTTATTGCACACCAAATCCCTCTCTGTACCAGGTTTTACTTCTGAATGTTTTGCTTCTGACATCAATTCCTCTTCATGCACCAGTAACAGTCATTTAGCTGTTGAAGCTGTGGTAAGATGTAAGGTCTGGTAGAACAAGCCTCTCTTGTTCCGCCTTTTCATTCCTTTCCTCCCTAGTTTTGTCCAACAGGCATTTACAGAATGCCTGTGTTACGACTGGGTGCTGGGCGCTGGAGCTGATAGCCACTCCCTGTCCTTAAGGAGCACAGGTTTGCCAGGTGATGTGGACAAGTGACCACATACAGTACAGATGCGGATGCATAGGATAGATACCAGGAGAGGGGAAAGTCAGGGGGTTGGTGTTGAGGAAGGCTTGCTAAGAGGGAGCAGCCCTGACAGATGAGTAGCGGTGTTAGCCAGGCAGAGACGGGCATGGCCGGCTCCAGGAAAGTATGTGCAGACACAGGTTGGACCCACACGTCGGTTGGAGTCCAGGAGTTGGTGTATGTGTGGGGGTAGCGGCGAGAGATGGCACTGGAGGGGGAGGCTGGGCCAAAGCTTGCAGAGCCTAACGTTCCCCACCAAGAAGTTTCATTTTTGGTTTGAAGACGAGGGGAGCCGTTGAAGGGGTTTAGGCAGGGAAAGTGACAAGATTAGATTTCTATTTCAAAAAGATGGCCTGGGCTGTGGCATGCAGAGTGGACGAAGAGGGGCAGGTGCCCATTTCTGGGGATGTTTGTTAGTCACCGATGTGAGTGTTAATGAGTAGTCCCTGAAATGGGGCAGTGGAGGGGGTAGGGGACAATGGCTTTGAGAAAGATCTGGAAGATCAGTAGAATTTGTTTATTCACCAACTATACTTATGGGGGGGATGGGATGATCGAGCAGGAAGACTCCAGCCTGTATAAACAGGTTGATGGTGGGGACAGGGGTTGAGATAGGGAATACAGGAGGGGAGTGAGGAAGAGATGGCAAGTTCCATTTTGAATATGCTGAGTCGCAAGTGTCTGGGGGATGACCGTGTAGGCTGGTGGCTGCCGAGACCTGGATGGCTACCCTGGGGAGAGGTTTATTTGGTAGACCTGGATGTGATCATTGGCATTTTCATAGATGTGACCAAAATTGCCAGGAG